AAAGGATAGGGTTAGTCAAGTGAAGATCTGGTTAAGAACATCCCAGGAGGAGGAAACAGTTGTGCAAGATCTTGAGTGCAGTAGGTGTTGTTCAGACAGTATGACTGGAGAGACATAAACACATGGGAGGTGAGGTCAGAGAGGCAGCAGGCAGGGGTGGGTTTATTCTGTAAACTGAATTTGGATTTTTATTCCAAGTGACACCGGAAGTTTTTGTTGTTTTTAAATAACAAGCTGAACAGTGCAGTTTTCCTTGCCCTGATTTAGAAACGAATTCTTTTTTCTTTGAATGCTGGGTTTGTGTGAGTGTAATGGAAAGGATACATGGCAGGAACCCCCATCCCCACCCCCACCCCATTCCCCCAAAAAACTAAAAACAAAAGTTAACTAGAGCGTAGGCTCCTTTAACTATTTGATTCCTCCTCCTCGGCTGATTTTCCCTTACCAAGATGGCCGCCGTCAAGCTCTCTCCTCATTGGTCAGTTTCCCGCAGGTGCCGGTGCTAGCCCCGCCCACCAGCTCTCTACCCGGGCCTTGCGTTCTTGGGGCCATAATTGACAGACTCCAGAGAGTGGGCGGTGCGGGTATCGGATGTGACGTTTCCGGAAGCTTCGGGTGTCGTCCGCGGGAAAAGGTGGGGAAGGGTCCCGGGAAAGTGGTGGGCGGCGGGGGCGCTGAGCTTGGTCTGACTCTGAGGGAAGCGGCCGCCGTGAGTGTGCCTGCAACCTTTCCTCCCCGCGCCCCTGCCCGGCCCGCCGCCCGAGGCTCGGGTCCTTGGCTGGGCCCGGCGCCTCCCCGCCTTCCTGACCGGAAAGACCCGAAAACAAATGATTTTGCTGTGGTGTTACGCATTTGGCTAGAATGCCTTAAAGGAGGGGGCAGCAAGCAGTTGTCCGAAAGTTCCTTCCACTGTATATATCCCCTCCACACCTTCCTGCCGCTTCCTTTTAGGTCTTCTGGGCTCCCAGTCTTTATGCCACTTCCCCCCCCATTTTTGCGGAGACTGCATCTCCTCTTTGGAGTGTCGTTCAACCCTGTAGTCCCGGGTACCGCTTGTTGGTCACGGGAGGGGTTCCATTCTTGACCCCAAAGATCTTCTGGAAAGTACCAGAGAGGCACTGAGGTGCAGAAACATCCTCTGCTTCAGTTAGCTTTCATGGGCTCTGAGTTTACTAATAAGACAACTTGGGGAGGTTTAGATTTGCTATTTGCTTTTTGAGCCTCCCCGGCCCCCCCCCAAAAAAAAAAGCTGTATGGGAGATGAGTTCCTGGTAGTCTTCACAGCTTTTATTTATTAGTAGTGTGTTTTACAGAGGATACTGGAGAAACTGACCTGGAGAGAGTATTGGCCAAGAGGAGACTGTATCTGAGGGAGGCGTTTGGAGTGGAAAACAGAAAAACACAAATGAAATGTGGGAGTTTCTGGGCAGATCAAAATACTGACTGAAGTAAATAAGATCTCTGTTGGGAAGGAGTATGGTTTTAGATTGAGAAGACAAAATGGAATTAGTTCATACAAGCCTGGGTTGAATTCTCTTAAGTTGTGTATTCTTAAGTATACTGGTTAGGACGTGCTGTACTTCATCGTCTTGAATACCAATTCTTTTTTCGCTATTATCAAGAGTGATGAACTCTTTGAACCTGACTCTAACAGTGACTATCTGTTAGGATTGTAGTATTAATTAATTTTTTTTTTTTTTGCATTCCAAGTTACCTTTGACCCCTTTTGTTGTTGGAAGAGTGCTTAGTCTTTGAAGATAGATTTGAATAAATTGTCCTCAAGATCTAAATTCCTTGCCATGAGATGATGTGACTTGACTAGTTTTTCAGAGCAGAGTTAGGATTATGAGCAGTCATTCCTGGACCAAAGTTAGTTCCCCTAAATTTTTAAAAAATGTTTATTTATACACACAAGAAACAGGGTACAGACCAGAGGTGTGTGTGTTGTGGGGGGGGGGAGCTGTGAGAGAGGGTACATCAGAGACAGAGTGGGGAGCAGAACAGGCAGATCTACTGAAATACACTACTGAGGGGAGCAGTGGACCTAACAGGAGAGGTCTGCCACACAATATGGGTCACCTCCTTGGCCTGGGATTGAACGCATGCTGCAGTAGCTGCTGATAGCTTCCCAATACGGTGCTTTAACCCACTGTGCCACCAGGAAGGGCCCCAGTTCCCCTAATTAACTTTGTGCTTAAATATGAAGAGTAGGACACAGAAAAAACATCAGTTATATTAAATTAAATAAAAATGACCTAACCTGTAGTCACTACACTCACAAAATTTCATCCAGTATTTTCTGCAGGTACGAGGGTAGATGGAAGGTTGCCAGGAGTCATAATACAAAAAATATAAAATACAATCCCTCCTCTTAGTGGTGCTCAGGACAGGGACACCTAATGGTAGGGGCTGATTAATATAAAGGGTAGGCACTGAACCTCCTGTGGCCTATTATAGTTATACTCCTTGTACTACCTAATATAGCACCAGGATTATAGGTTTTTGAGGCTGCCAATTCTTTCATTGTTGTGATGTGAGCTTCTTTAAGGGTCTCAACTTCCTTGTATGTGCTGTGGGCCATGGTGTTGATGCCATCTATTTTCTTTTTCCTGTCTCAGAACTTGGTCCTGATGACTGACCATGGAGATGTGAGCCTCCCACCCGAAGACCGGGTGAGGGCACTCTCCCTCATGGGTAGTGCAGTGGAAGTAAATGAAGACATTCCACCCCGTCGGTACTTCCGCTCTGGAATGGAGATTATCCGCATGGCATCCATTTACTCGGAGGAAGGCAACATTGAACATGCCTTCATCCTCTATAACAAGTATATCACGTAAGACACCTCCACTTGCCTTTTCTTTTCCTGTGACTGATGTCTCACTCATTCTGCTTTTTGCTCATTTTCTCTGCTTGTATTGCTTAAACTAGAGAACTTTACATCATTAGCATTAATCATTTTTGTTCCCGGTTCCTACATATTGACTGTCCTTGCCACTCAAAGCACGAGTACTGAAAGTGTTATTCTCATGACTCAGTGATTTCATGAGTAAGAGACCTACTTCTTTGGCCTGTGCCCACGTTGCCCAGCTGTTATGTAAAGGAATTGGTGGTTAAACTGTTTTGTATTGGTGAATGTTTTTTCTGTCTTCTCCCTATTAAGGCAGCCAATCATAGGATTGTTGTTGAGGTTTAGCAGAGCCAGTATTCCTCACCTCTTTTGCTACTTATCTTGTAGCAAATTGAATGACTCAGAAAAAAAGCTTTTTCTTTTTAACCTTTACCATGATCAGGAAATCATCAAATAAGTATTAACCACCCACATTTTCTGTGGCTCATCATAATAAAAGTTTTCCTTTGAGTTGCTTAGCATTTTAGGGTAGAAGTTTTCAACTTACTTAACCAGAAACAACTTCTAAAGCCCCAGTGACAATGAAGTGATAAGTAAGGAAATGACTTAGCAAGGGGATAACCTTAAGGGGTCTCATTTATAACTCTAGTCTTGTTCTTTCATAATACTAGGACCTTCTAGTAAGAAAAATAATTTTAGTGTATTTGTGTTGTTTCTGAATAGTTTGTTGTTTCTCTGCATTGTGTCATTTGCTCTTCACAGTTTTGTGTGCATTGAATAGGGCACACCACCATCCAACCCTGCATATGGGAACAAGCTCAGGGTTTAGTCATATGCTTTTGTTCCAATGTGGAATGACAGAAACAGATTTTCTAGTTTTTAATTCAGGATTCATTCTACATGATAGGTCCCATTCTTTTTGTTTTCTTTTGGTAATGTTATATAAGTTGAAGGTAGTCTTTTGAGATAATAGTCTTGAATCACACTGAATATTTTAATTGTATTTTGAGGTACCATATGGTAACAGAACTCAGAAGGTACCAAAGGATACACGTATTTAAAAACTAAGTTTCCCTAGCATTCTTCTATCCCTCAAGCTCTCAGTTCCCCTTCTCAAAGACAGAGACTCTTACATGTCCTTTCAAAGATCTATGCATATCAGTTTCAGAATACTACATTTCTGATTATAAGCTACTCTGAAGCAGGAGTTATCAGCCTTGGTGTCATTGACATTTTGGGATAACTCTTTGTTGTGGGGACTGTCCTGTGCATTGTAGGATGTTTTGCAGCATACTTTTGTCTATCCAGTAGATGACAGGAACATCTTCTCCTCTGGTTGGGACAACCAAAAATGTCTCTGATGTTATCTAATGTTTTCTGAGGGTGGAATTGTCCCTGGTTGAGAACCAGTGTGCGAGAAAGGTAGTTGTAAGCAGGGACTCACAACTTAATATGAGTTTCATGTTATGATTAGAGAGTGGAGAAAAATAACTGCTGGGTCATTTTGTTTACGTTTAGAAATAGCGCCTGTTTCCTGAAAGCCCTTACAGTCCTTCCATTTTGCAGTTATATGGCCATTTTGCAGTTATATGGCCTTAGTGTTAAAGTTTTTAAAATTATAAATGCATTTTCACCCTATATGCTGTTAGGTTTATTTTTAGGCACAGGAGGCAGATTATTTATTGTTCTGAAATGTTTCTTTGGCTGTTCTCTTCAGATAATCTGCTTCTGGCAGAAATAGTATTTCTTCTTCTTTTTTTTTTTTTTTTTTAAAGATTTATTTATTTATGCATACAGAACGGGGTTGCAGGCCAGATGTGCAAGAGTGAGAGGATTCACCAGAGAAAGAGTGGGGAACAGAACAGGTAGATGTACTGAAATACACTGTTGAGGTGACTAGTAGTGGGTCTGGAGAGGTCTCCCACACCATGGGGGTCACCTCCCTGGCTGGGGGTCGAAGTCATACTGCAGATAGCTTCATAGTGCTATGCTTTATCCTGTTGTGCCACCAGGGAGGGCCCTCTTGTTTATTTCTAATTACCTTGTGGTTCATTCTCCTAGAATAAGACCAGGGGTACAAATCCTTTGGAGAATCACAGTTGAAAAAGATAAGTAGAATCATGGAGTCATTCTATGAGGGGATTTGTGAAGGGTTTTCTGTGTCCTCTCCCACATAGAAAGTGCTGTGAGGGCAAGGACACTAGTTATTTACCAAATATATTTTGTGTATACCTACTGTCTACTTAACCCTGCACTAGGTGTTGGATCCATAGTGAGTAAAATGGCTCCTGCCCTTACTGAGGTACCTTTCTAGTTTTGAGAGAAGATTAATAAATAGGCTAGCAAATAAAGGTCTAGTCACAGAATGAGAAAACCACTATGAAATCACCAAAGAAAGTGCTGTGACAGAGAATAAGGAAGGATATCTAGTAAATGGAGTGGTCAGGGAAGGTTTGCTTGAGAAGATAAGATTTAAGCTGAGATTTGAAAGATACCAATAGAGTTGGTCCTTTCAAGAGCATAGGCCAAGCATTAAAAACAGTTGTAATTGTACTCAGAAACTTTGGCTAGGAAACCCTCTTATGTTCTGATTGAAGATCATTGTGCTTAGAGTGTAGCAAGAAAAGAGGGAGAATGATTGCAGATGATGTTGGAAAGGCAGGGGGACTAAGTCATGCAAACTTGCAGTTTCTCTTGAGAGCAGTAAATAGCCACTGAAAAGTTTAAGTCAGGTTTTGACATAGTCTTATAGTTTAAAAATATAAATTTTGGTTACTGTGTGGTAAATGGTAGAGGAGTATTAAGAGAAGTCTGGGGATAAGTTAGGAAACTTAAAACAGCCAGGAGGGAGGCTGGTGCCTTTAAAGAATGTGGCAGCTTAGAAAGAAGCAGATGGATGTGGTATTTTGGAGGTAGAGTCTACAGGACTCAGCAGATGTAGAATGGGAAAGAAGGTGGTATGAATGTTGGCCTCAGGTTTCTGCCTGATATAATTTAGGATGCACTGGCCCATTTACTGAGATGGGGAGAATGATACTGAAAAGGGATTGAGTAGGGGGATGATTCAAGTCTTCAGGCTTGGAATTTTTGATATGCTCGGCTTGAGATGCCTGTAAAATATTCAAACAGCGATCCAGTAGGAGGTTGGATGTGCCAGTCTGAACTCACAGGTGGGGTCTGGGTTGGAAACACAAACCAGGACCTCTCAGCATACACATGGTCCTGAAGCCCTGAGAACCACTGCTGCCTTCTAGAGCAGAGATCCTTAACCTGGGGTTCAGGTATCCTAAGGGATTTATTGGTAAAATTCAAGGTTCATGAACTTGGTTGGAAAAAACTTTTCTAGTTTATAATAACCTCTAACAGAAAGTACTGTTTCCTCCATTTTGAATGTAAGCCTCAAACTGCAGTATTAGCAATAGAGTATTGTAACTTTGTCATCAGTAGAGATGAGATATTTTCATATTACATTATGACAATGACAGAATTACAACTGAATTATTAATCTCATGATTAGCTCCCATTTTTAAATGTATTAACAAAGAAGCACATAACACCTTTTTATATTTTGAAAACTGTTTTGGTAGAATCAGTTTCTTTTGGAATCCTTAGATTTTTTTATATCTAAAAAATTATTTTTGAGGACTCCATTGGCTTTAATAGATGCCAGAAAGATCCATGGCACATAAAAGGATCAAGAATCTTTGATAACAAGAATCTTTTGATAACAAGAAGGAACCTAGAATTGAGCCTGGAGTTTGTTTAGTGGCAGGAAGGCCAACAAAGAAAATGTTGAAGGAAGATTGGAGAGGCAGTTGGAAGCCAAGGAGGGAGGGGTGTCACAGGAACCAAAGAGGTCAGTGTTTGCAGGAAGAGTGGCTATGCCAGAAAATTTGGGTAGGTGAGTGAGGATTTGGGTTTAGTAATGTGTCATGGTGATCTTGGTTAGCAGTTTCACTAGAAGGATTAAAGAGACTAGATTGGTGCAGGCTGAAAGGTGAACGGACAGTGAGAAAGTGGACACCATGAGTGTCCTGTTAGCATACTTTTTTTAGCAACCATTTGATCTCTGCAACAACCTCTGCGTTTTAGTATGAGAGCGGCTTTAGACAAATGGGTGTGGCTTTGGTCTCATGAAACTTGATTTACAGAAACAGACAATGAGCAGGTTTGACCCACTAGCTGTAGTTTGCCAGTTTCTATCAGAGATAACTCTTTGTAGGAGTTTGCCTAGGAAATAAAGTGGAAGTAAGGAAGGCATTGAAGGGGCACAAGGAGTTCATGAATGTGCTGTGTATTTTAAGATGGGGGATTCTAGAGCATGTTTTCTGTTGGTAGGAAGGTTTTGGAGAAGGAAAGGCTGATAGTACAGAATACATATATATATATATATATATATATATGCATTTTTAAAAACTGATTTGGTGTTACTTTCAGTGGCATGTGTCAGTTCCTATGAGACTTACATGGGCAGTCTGTCCCTGTAGATGGTGTTCCCCTTATACACTTAATATAATGAACTAGACCTGGAGGACAGTTGACTGCAAGGGGAGGTGGGATGTAGCAGCTTTTACTTAATTTGTTGGATTTAGGTTTAAATTTGGAACTTTATTGGACTGGTTTGACCTACAAGTTTTTGTTTTTTTTTTTTAAAGATTTATTTATTCATACAGAACTGGGGTACAGGCCAGAGGCTCAGGGGCGGCGAGAGGCTTCACCAGAGACAGAGTGGGGAGCAGAACAGGCAGATCGACGAAGTACACTGCTGAGGGGAGCAGCGGGCGGGTCAGGAGAGGTCTGCCACGCCATGTGTTCACCTCCCGGGCAGGCGGGAATCGAACTCATGAGGAAGTGGCTTTAGCTTCTCAGTGCTGTGCTTTAACCTGCTGCACCACCAAGGAAGGCCCAAGTTTTTTGTTTTATTGTGTAAGCCATCCATGTGACTACCTTCATTTTCCTTGCAAATATTTTCAGGACCCTAATTC